GATTGTCACTTCCATTACATATTGCAAAAGTATCAGATTCAACGCAAAAGATTGTCACTTTACACTAACAGAACCACCACATAGTACAAGTTCATCTCCTAACAAACTAGGCATCATTCCTAACATACTAACAGTGAAATAGCTGTTGCAAAGACTGCATCAACTACATATTGCATCACTCTTGCATCCACTCCATCACTTCTTCAGCACAGAAATTGCTACTAGCACTGCAACTACAATGAGTGCTGCCAACAAAGCCTTCATCATCACCAATATTTCATTGCCTAACCCTACGAGTGCTTCTGCTTGCTGACTGCTCATTTGACCTGCAACTCTTCCATGATGTCCATCTTCAAACCCTGGAAAATCAACTGCACCTACACCTCCACCTCCACCTGCATATCTTCGATTCCTTGCTCGCATCAGCTCTTCCCTCTTATCCTCTGCAGCTCCTAATGCATCTACGGCTTCATTGCCAACAAGATACTGATTTTCCACCAAGTATGCAATGTATTCCAACTCCCAATGCCAGAAATGGTCCTGGACATCAAAAGAAAACAACAAACGCCAGAAATCACCATTACAAGTTCCAAAAAATCCAACCAAAACGAAGAACTAGGGATGCACTCCACTTACACCAACATGACACCTATAGAAGACCCAGCCCTCGTGCTTCTCCGTGTTGGAGACATAGAACTTCACACGAGTGCGGCAAGAAGGGCACCTGATGAGCGGCACCACCACCGAACGGCCGCCGACCGATGACCTGATCGAGCTTGTTGACATGGCGGAGTGAAGCAACTGGCGGCGGCAAGCGGCAGGGAGAGGCCGCCGGCAAGCAGCACGGAAGAGGGCTGCGGCAAACAGCAGGGAGAGGGCGGCGGTGGCGGCAGCGGCGTGGGGAATTAGGGAGCGGGCGGCGGCGTCGACGGCAGAGTGGGGAATTAGGGATTCCGCTACAGAGTGGGGTATTTCAAGGGGGTCGATGGTTAATTACATGCGTCAGGCTAATTTACAGAAATAACCCTCCGCGTGCCGACGTGGACGGCACCGACTGGTCAAACCGAGCGGCGACGGGTGGCATACGAGCAACAGTGACCGTACAAACACGTCTTGTCGTATTGGGTGACCGTATTGGCCGTATTTCTAAGTTCGCTGACCAAATTGAGCTCTCTTCGCAAGTTCAGTGACTGCCAGTGCATTTTACTCTTTAATTCTCGGTCACCTTATTCCTAGCGATTTCCCTTCTTCGATTGTGCTGCTGGACCTTTGTTCCACGGATGAGCAGAATCGCGGGTTGACCGCTTGGTCCGCACCGCGTGCGTGTGGCTGCATGAGCTCCTGTCAGTTTCACTGCCCTCTCGCAAGCCACTTCTGTAAAGTCGTGCTGGTTCTTGCTACTGGCAAAGATCGTCGAAGATAGGCAGCGAAATGCTGGAGCCACGCAACGACATAAATGTGGAATCCATCTCATGCCTGCGACGAGATCTTGTGGAACTTTTTTGCTTCCACCGATTGACCTCCGTGCATCCTCACAGGAAGATACGGAGGAGGGCGGCAATTAAAGGCGGCATTACTCTGCGTGTCTGCGTGCTGCATGCGTGGTAATCAGCTACACTCGTGAGCTTGCAAACAATGGATTTTATCGGGACGCCATGCATGCCAATGTCATTTACTACTGTGCTAGCTAGGGCTCCTATAGGCAGGGATTGAAATGGCTGGGCACGTCGGGAAAGAGAGCGAGAGCGATATGAATGCGCGCGAGAGCACTGTATGCATTGTGCTGGGGACATACATTGTGCAGAGCATGGCATGCAGACCGGACGGTTCCTTCAGGAGGCGGATGTTGAGAATATCGATTCGATGGATCGCTTCCCGTTTCCCCGTAATGGCGAGTGAAGAGAGATGGGACGCTGCAAGCCATTACTCCTCACGCTCACGGGATCGAGATGGAGTAGCTAGCTAGGACTAGGAGGAGGGCCGGAGAGAGAGGAGCTGCAGATTGGCGCTGTTGCTGCGTTGGGAAGTGCCAACTGCCGAGCTTAGGCTTCCTAGGAGCCGCAGAGGCTAGCTACCGCCGCGGCCGCGCCAATGGCATTGCTAGTGAGCAGTGGCGGAGGAAACACATCGTCCAGCCGAACGGGACGCCCATTTCATGTTCATCTCTCTTCTTCTTCTTCTTCTTCTTCTTCTTCTTCTTCTTCTTCTTCTTCTTCTTTTTGTATTGTATGTTTACTATTTTCCATCTCAGTTTTGATCCAAGAACACTCTAGTTTTGTTGCTGTCGACTTGTTTGTACGAAGGCACTGCATGCAGGGACGGGGTCCCTGAGGTGATTGGAGCCGGCTCCCGACGTGGTTTGACTTTTGTTCACGGCAAATCTCTGCCCAAGAGATTTGAGCCGGGAACGGGATCGTCCATGATACGAATTAAAAACGCTGCCTGCTCCTGCAGTTCGTGAAAACGATGGCGTTCGATTTGGCACGAGAACTTGGCAATCAGAACCGGGGCGACAGTGCTGGCCGAGCCGAGCCGAGCGAACGCCGTCGGTAACACGAGACCACAAGATCCAAGGCCCGTGCGCGCATGCAACTGTGAACTGTCTCGTGCCAGAGTGCACGCCGAGGAGACGTCCGAGTCCAAACAAAAATCCTAAAACCCCAGACGTGTCATGCGGGATTCCATGGGTAGCCACCATCTCATGTCGAACGAAATAGAGCAGGCCTTGGGCATGCAGCTCGTAGAACAGACATTCTCAATGGATTAAAAAACGGGCACGACAAGCAAATGCATGCACATGAGAACATCATGTTTTCAGGACCCATCATGTTTCACGACAAGCAAATGCCTTCACATCATGTTTTTGTTTTCGGCAAGGGCCTGCGCATCATGTTTTCAGGGCCCATCGTGTTTTTTCTGAGTTGATTGGCCTCGCCCCGAGCTATACATTCAATTCCACGTATAGCACACGAAAAAAAACCGTATGTGACACAGAAATGGGAGAGCTCCTAATCTGCGCTTCAAGCGCCCGTTCACACACGTAGCTGGTAGGTTTGAAAAGTTCACGGTTTGAAAAAGGTTAATGTATTTGAAAGGTTCGCGGTTTCAAAAAAGGTTCAAGGATTTGAAAAAGTTCGTGAATTTTGAAAAAAGTTCACGGATTTGAAAAAGTTTAATGTATTCAAAAAGTTCACGGTTTCAAAAATGTTCACGTGTTTGCAAAAACTTCACGGATTTGAAAAGTCCGTGGATATTGAAAAAAGTTCACGGATTTTAAAAGGATTGTGGTTTCAAAAAGTTCATGAATCTGAGAAAGTTTATGAGTTCTAAAAAAGGTTTATGAATTTGAGAAAAAGTTCACGGTTTAAGAAACATTCACAAATTTGAAAATTTCACGGTTTGAAAAAGTTTAAAAATTGAAAAAAAAAGTTCACGGATTATAAAACGTTCAAGAATTTGAAAAAAGTTTGTGCTTGAAAATGTTCATGACTTTGAAAAATAGAAAAAATAAAACATAAAGAAAAAGGAAAAAAAACAAATAATAATAATAAAACGAAAACAAAAAAACCAAAGAAGAACCAGCCCAGGAAAATATGTGGGAACTTTCTAGCAGGTTCCCACGATGGGCCGGCCTACTTAGGAACACAGCGAAAGGAACGCAGCAGTGCGTACGAAAAGAACTCAATCTGACGCCTGAAGCGCCAAATAGCATTTGTGCACAAAGTCAATTTCTTATTTGAAGCATTCTACATCAAGTAAGTAGTCGCTTGTTCGCACACAACGATTGCATGCGGTTTTGGGATATCAATGCTACTTATCTCGGAGCAGCACTTGTCTATAGAGGTATAATAGATCTAGCGACGACCAAGCCAATAGTATGCAGAGAGGGTTTGTGTCTAGCAATAGACATGGCGCAGTAGATGATTCGTCTGGCATCTGATTGCAAAAGTGTGGCCGAAGATATCAAGAATAAGAGCATGGGATTACATGCAGCCATCACCAAGAAAATTGTAAAGCGCTCCGCATCCTTGTGAGAGTGCCATTTTATCCATGAGCAACGTCCAAATTATAAGACTCACAACGTAGCTAAGGCCTCATTCGGTTTGAAGGAAACCAAAACGTAGGAAGTAGTATAGGAATTTGATAAGATGACTGTTAGAAGGTTCTTGAACCACTTCTATGTGTTTACTGTTTTTTTAGATACTTTTATTTTTTATGTTTATTTATTTTTCGTTTCTTTTCTATATGTTTTTGTTCAAAAATGGGAACTTTTCAAAAATATTCGGGATTTAAAAATAACCCACAAATTTCAATAAATGTTTGGGAGTTACAAAAAACTGTTCCTGTTTCAAAAATTGTTCGCAAATTTTTAAAAATGCTCCTATTTTAAAAATTGTTCCCGTTCCAAAAATTGTTTGCAACTTTTTGAAATTTTTTCTTGTTTTCAAAAAATGTTCCCATTTAAAAAATTGTTCGCGTTTCTAAATTTTGTTTCTGGAATTTCAAAAAACGATCCTGTTTTCAGAAAATATTCAGGAGTTTTAGAAAATGTTCATGTTTCCGAATTTTTTTTGTAATTAAAAAAATGTTCGTGTTTTCACAAAATATTTGAGTTTTTTTTAAATCACAAATTTGAATAGTGTTGGCGTTTCATATAACATTCACGTTTAAAAAAATGTTTTGTGCTCGAAATTTAAAAAATGCTTGGATCTGGCTTTGGTTCTTAAAGTTTTGCGCTGCTTTATAATCAGGAATGCTCGACAGGTTAACTGGCTTGTGGCACAACTAACAATCTCTCGCTGAGAGTGGCAGATAGGAGCTCCCCATACAAAGCGTGGATTGCCAATACAAATTGCAATGAAATATTTTCATGCCTATCTGATTCACGGGATTTTAAAAGTGCATGAATTGTAACATTTTGTCAATGCCATTTGAATACTATAAGATTTGCGTAGATGCTAAAAATTGTAACATTTCATGGTTTGCATTGCAGCATTTTTTCAAGAGCTTTGTGTAGATGCTAAGATTCCTTGTCGCAGAGAGTGACGGATCATGGAGATTTCTTGCTTGACCTGACCTACAGTTGAAAGAGCTTGACTGTCTCTCAGGAAGTGAAGGCCCTGAAGATTGAGTTGAGTCCCATTTTCTTGCCCCCTTACATTCGGTCGTCGCCGGAATATAAATATACAATCTGTCTGGCCATTTGTTTCTTGCTGATGAAAATGCTGAAGATGGAACGTTGTAAACTTGTTAGCGAACCAATTATGCATGCTTATTGCACTTGTTACTGAATCAATAGTACAGAGCATATATTCACACATATACGAAGCAATTTTCTGCACTGAGATGATCTTTCATAGGGGATGTCTAAACTAGTCCAATCCAAGCAATACACCTAAGCCCCAAACATATAATAAATATAGTTAATCTATAAGGAATCTGCGAAGGCTAATGCCCTGGTGCCATTGAGTCTAACACTAACCACTCTCGCTGCACAATCGCCCTACCGTTTCATAAACACAAGCTAGCAAGTTCACTAAAGCAAAAAAATCAAACCAGTAGTTTTACCTTGTATATCATATATCTAAATATTTTGCTGCAAAGAATGCAACTCCCGTTCAAGAAAAAAGCCTTCAGTCTTGAGATCCGAATCTTCTGCTCCACTTCATGAGGAGCTGTTCTATATCAGCATCCATTCTTGTTCCTTTACCTCCCCACACTAACATATGAGCAAGATCCATCATTGATGATCCATCTACCTCATGCACTGCTTTGAAACCCATCCTCGTATAGAACTTAACAAGCTGACGACAACAAAAAGACACCAATGAATGAATCTAAATGAATAACTTTCCCAAATGAAAATTATACTCAGTAAACACAAAATAGAGCATTCTGTCACACTAAGCGAAAATCCATTGTAAAACCATATGCTCCTTGCTGTTTGGCGCCTCTCATTTCTCTATCAAGTTGAAAAAGTTTTTGCTTAACTCATAGAAAATTCAGAAATAAACGTAAATAGAAAAAAGAAGAGAAAATATAGAGAACTTGAGTGATTATATAGCTAAGTCCACTAGCATTAATTAGTCGTCAACTCAACACTAGTAGACGTCCGCTCAAAAATCTTCTTAACCATTTTGTACTTTACAACTCTAGATTTTTACACTGAATGTTTCCAAATATCATTACGGTACACATTTGCTCAAACCTGCAATTCACTAACCATCAGTATATCCGATTAAGCAGCAGCCACAACGAACCGACAGACATGTTCTAAGAGGTGATACCTTGTTGTGATAGAGCGGCGTATCGTTGATGGCTAGCAGATCGGCGCGCACGCAGCCAGCGTCGAAGCCATGGCGCACGGTGACGGCGCCTAGGAAGATGCCGAGGCCGAAGAGCGGCCGGTCAGGGACCTCGAGCGTGGCGCGCGACATCCGCATGGAGTCGAGGTGCAGCACGGAGCCCCCGGGCCAGGGCCGGACAGCGCCCTCGGCGCGGCCCAGCTCCACGTCGCCGTCGCCGCCGACGCGGGTTGCCGTGACGCGGAAGAGAGGGCCAACCGTGCTTAAGCGCACGCGTAGGCCCTGCGCGCGTGACGCGGCCATGATGTCCGCCATCGTCGGGAGCCTGCCCGTGCCTGGTGTGGGCGGCGACGGAGCGGCCATGGGGCTATGGGAGAAAAAGGAGCAGCGAGCTGCAGGAGGCGGGAGTGACTGGAGGGGAGGCTGGACACGTCTCGTTATAACGCCATGCGAATTGGCTGACCGCTGAGCTGAGTATCCAATATCTTACCGAGTACCCGCATAAAAACATAAAAAATCTTAGGGGTGAAATACTACCCTCGCACTCCGCCTGCATTGCCAACGCTGCTATACACACGACACTCCACGCACGATTTGTGCACGATGGTTCACATCCAGCCATCGAATTAAGGAACCAAGTGCATCACATCTATCAGATGGTCAATCGTTCATGCATCGTGCATGATGGGTCGGCTGTGAAGTAGTTTCGTTTGCCACTCCCCTTCTCCGCCTTTCACTGCTCGAGGTATGCCGCCTCCTTCTCCGGTGTGGATGTCATCAAAATGGCCGGTGCACTCACCCACTCGCGCAGGATACCAGTCCACATATACCTCTCCCCGACGGCCGGTAATTCCAACGTGGCCTCCGTGGCCCACTCTTGGGCATGGCTGGCGCTGTTTCAGGCAGTGGCGGCGGTGGCAGAGGGTAGACATAGTCCTCGTCGTCGACAGCTGGAGCGCCTCCGCCATGCCTAGCTAGAGCGCCCCCTCCTCGCATGGGGACTCCTGAAGGGCGCACTAGAGCGCCTCCTCGAGTGTGGCCTGGTATGTTGCCTCCGCCTCCTGGTCCTCCTGCGCCACGACCAGGACTCCTCGAGGGCGCACTGGACGGCGCCCGCAGCGGCGCACGTCGTGCTCGGTGGCGAACCAGACTTCCCAGTTGGGGGAGTCTGGCGCGTACACCGGGTCATGGTGCCACTACGGCGTCAGGAGGGCACGACATCTGCGCACCTCCTTCGCATGCGCGCGTGGAGACCACGACATCGACGGCACCGGGATGCTGTGGGGGTTGAGGTGCCAGTCATGGGAGAAGTTGACGCCGGGCCACTGCAACAACACACGTACTGTCATTGATACTGCGCGCGGTGCACCGGGATGTAGAGCCGGTCCCATGGCCGGTGAGCTCTCCCTGCCCGCGACACCAATGAGAAGGCGTCTGGCGGTGGCGGCGAACTTGCACTTGCCCTTGTTGTTGAAGAACCCATGGCGGACGCGCGGGCTAGCTAGGGTTTTTTGTCGCCGTGAGGGAGCGAGGGTGGCCAGATATGGACGGGAGGGGGAGGAGAAGTGGATGAGGCTGGTCCCCCCGCACGCTTGCATTTAAAAAATATGTGAACTCTCGAGGCTTCCAGACGCTACCATGTAGGCCCAAGGTAGGTGGACGCATTGACTATGACCGTGTGGGGTAGTTGGGTGGCCAAAACGTGGGCCCGAGGCGAATACCGAGCGGACGCGTGGCGCGTCCGTCTCGTGTCTACGTGGATGCAAACCGGGGGCAAATTTGGGACAAGAATGCGTCCATATGGATACCGAGCGAACCAACAATGGGTTTGCGACGACGTGTTGGACCATCATTTTCATCCATTTCCACTTAAACAGACATGCACGGACGAAATGCTTCGGCGCGTTGGAGTTGACCTTACCAAGTAAAGCTATGGCGAATTGGCTAACTACTGAGCTGAGTATCCAATATCTGAGGCCAACTCCAACTCCAACGAGGTGACTCATTTGGTCCATGTGTGTTCCTTTATGTTTATGTTTATGCGAACACAAACGACGACCCAACGGCACCGACACATCCTCGATATCCGCTCGACGTCCGTCTTGATGCATTTCTCATCCTCGGCCCCACCAACATGCCCGGGAGCCGACGTGGCTAACACCCCCTAATCCAAGACACCATCGATAGCCCCTGGATCGGTCTTCACGTCTTCGTCTTACCTACTTTTTCAAACACTTTTGCTCTAGTTTTAAACTTTAATTTGCATGATTTGAATGAAACTAACCTGGATTGACGCTATTTTCAGCAGAACTACCATAGTGTTGTTTTTGTGTAGAAATAAAAATTCTCGGAATTGGACGAAACTTTTTGGAGATTTTTATGGAATAAATGAAAAATACTAGAGCCAAGATCCACTAGAGGGGAGCCACCCTGTGCACACGAGGCACCAGGGTGCGCCCACCCCCCAGGCATGCCCTGGTGGCTTGTGTGGCCCGCGTGGTTCCACTGACCCTAATCTCAGCACTATAAATCCCTATTTTATAATAAAAAGAAGAGAGTAAGTTTCATCGTGTTTTACAATACGAAGCCATCGTTGACGGTGTCCTGGGATAGGGGGTACTCACCACGTCATATCCCAATCAGTTGGATTGGGCCGAGGACCCCATGGCTGTATGCTTATGGGCAAGTTCGGATAGCCGATGTATACAGGAGGAAGATTCCACAAGACTTGGTGATCAAGACAAGGACCCCTCTCCACCGGCGTATTCGACTAGGACTCTTGTTATCCTAGGCCTCTGGTACATTATATAAGCCGAGGTCAGGCTAGTCGGTAGATTATTATGACATTACTCATCATACCTGTAGGGTTTAGACCACAACATACGAGCTCGAGGTAGATCAACTCTTGTAACCCCTATACTCATCAAAGTCAATCAAGCAGGAAGTAGGGTATTACCTCCATCAAGAGGGCCCGAACCTGGGTAAACATCGTGTCCCCTGCCTCCTGTTACCATCGATCCTAGACGCACAGTTCAGGACCCCCTACTCGAGATCCGCCGGTTTTGACACCGACATTGGTGCTTTCATTGAGAGTTCCGTTGTGTGATCGGCAAAAGGATCGATGGCTCGTCTGCAGGTCAACTGTGATGCCGGCATCTTCGTCGCTGGCTCGACTGGTCACCTTGGCTCGACCGAGGACCATGCTCCATCTCCGATCGTCATGTTCGGACGAGGGCCTTCATCAACATCAACTCCGATCTCTATCAAGATCATGGAGGAATCATCCATGGAGCTCGGGGGCTCAACGTCAACATTGCCCTTAGGCGACCGTGCTGTTTTTCTGAACAGCAAACTTGTATCCGCTGCCACCTCCTCCTCAAGCATCGCTTTGACAATTACTTTGATGAAATTGTGCGGAATTGAGTCTACAACAACCATGCAAAATTTTGTCGAGTTTCGATGGAGGAATCTCCGGCAATCTATGATATACCGGAGCCCTGTCAAATCTGGACATGAATCTAGACAAGTTTAGGGCGTGGTCTCCAGCACCTAGCTTGGACGTCCTTTGGAAGATTCAACCGTTGATCGGCTGCGGAATTCCTATATCTACCACCCCTCAAAATTTCAGCTCGATCCGACCATCCAAACTCCGAGAAACTTCCGATTAGTGCATTACTTTTCGGACCTGTTTTCTGCGCGAACGGATCCGACCATAATTCATGTTTCTTTATAAACGTGATATTGGACAACCTTTTTAAAGGAATTTTCTTCTATGGTATTGTGCGTTGTTTTTAACACGTGCCCATAAAAGTTTAAGCCTTCTTTGAGGCACTCTTCACTATCGCGCTGGTGTAACACCAGGCCGGTAACATTGCTCCACGTCTGTCGACCTGCGCTAGACAGATCTCGTTTCATCGAGTCGAGCCTAACCTTATCGGATCATCAGCTCGGCAAGCCGAACAAGAGTTCGACATCGCGAAGGATAAATCATCGCCAACACCATCGGCCCACGGATTGCACGGGTTAGGCGCACCGACATCGCCGCTCGGTCACTTCATCAATCCGGCATTGACCGCGTCACAAGTTATGACCAGCGTCGGCATGGCCGCACTGTTGCTTTTTCAAGCCAATGTCCATCACGCCGAACTGCTTCAACACCTTAGCTGACATGGCAGCTGCAATGTCTCCTTACTGACCCGCTCCGTCACCTCGGTTAGACCGGGGACTTTGCTATTGCTTCATCAACATACTCCAGTGACTTCGGCGTCACCAGCCGACCAGCTTCGTCACATTAGCTGGACCGGGGGCTTTGCCTCGGCGAGCCCACCTTTGCCAGTATCGCCATGCCGCCGCTTTATCGCCCATCACGCAATGGGTGTGCGGATCGAGTCCCAATTTTTGGAGTAACCTTTCTTCAGATTGCTACAACAGATAAATCAGGTGCTATTAATCCTAGTATTTTTTTTCTTGGGTTTATTTTTCCCAAGGAACTATTACTCTGGTTTGTTTCATCATCTGTACACAGGTCTATCAAATGGTGGCCGCATTAACAATGATCGCGTGGTGGTTCGGTCAGGTTTCGTATACAGTTCGGCGAATGCCGCATCCGCATCCGGAACTCAGACCGGCCTGCGAATTCAGGCTTGGCCATGCCTTCACCGCGTCACGCCAACGCCCTGCATCGACATGACTTCGGCGCCAAGCCACATCTCTTTCAAATAAATTATTTTTGCGAAAAGCAATTATTCTTTTTGGACCGCACTACTTTATGTGTGTAGGTGATCGACTTCGACTGCATCACGCGATCACTTTGGCAAGCCGACACCGTTGTCCCAATCGGCTCGCGTGATCACCTTGTTGGTCGAATCGCCATACCGACATGTTCGGTTGCCTCGGGGGCATCGTTGAGAGAGCTCTACCTCATCGAGTGTTTGGCACACGGGCCATATTTCTTTTATTACTCACTTTGCGTAAATTATTAATTATGCAATTTTTTTATTATTCCTATTATCTCCGGCTTGCACTATTTTCTGTGCACAGGTAAAGGATCCGGGTCGGGCAGCGCTGTCACCTCGGCGTACTGATGTACCACGTCACCTCGGCTGGACTGAGGGCTTCGTCATTACTTCATTAAGCCACGCCGGGGACTTCGGCGTCACACTGCCGGCCCGCATTGGTCGTGCTATGTCGCCACTTTGGAGTGCCGAGCTCTTCGCTCCGCTACCTCGGGACCGGATTGGGGGCTGGGACCTTGTCCCGCCGTAAGCTCGGGCCGTGCATCGACACCGAGCACATTAACCAGCTAAGTAGCTTTC